CTTCAGAGGAAGCACATTTCTCCTTGTATCACAATCTCATCTCTCCTTACACCACCCAGAGAGCATGAGGGGCAGAACGTAGATCAACCTATAAATTGACAGCTTCAGGGTCAGCTCTCTCGTCACCCCATTACTGCAGATGCCACATCGATCCCTCAGTTTCCTGCTCCACTCTCCCGTCACTCATGAACAAGACCCTGAGATATTTAAAGTCCTCCACTAGTGTTGTGCGATAGCAAATTTTGGTATCGATCTCATACCAGTTAAAAAAAGTGCCAGTATTGCTGATACTTGTGCTGATACTTGTTTCCCTATCTCACTTAGCTGCTGGCAGTATGAACCAATCTCTCACTATGGTTGTGCAGGGACCAGAAACAACTAAAACCAACTAACACTAAACACACTACTGGGTGCACATATTGCACCTAGTTTGCCTCGTGCAATGTTCAGGGCACGCTGGCATGTGACAGGAGGAGCATACAGTTTCCACCCCCTCTCTGTGATCCAGGAGCAAAGGTAACACCTTTTTCAAGTAGATCTCCCTGCTGAGCACTGGACCGTCAGCAGGTGGAGTTTTACTCACTCCTGGGAGGTGCAGCTCAGAATAAGACTTGTTAGTAGCAGTTTTAGGTCTCCTTTTCATGTGTTGCATGAGCAAGGCGCAATCCACTCCAGCAATGTCTCCAACATCAAGTCTGAGAAGATCCCCATCAGCATGATGAAGGCAGTAATAGTAAAATAATGCTATGTCTCAATCTTTACAACCTTTACATCTAATATGCTTTTTATGGTCTGAATAAAATATCGGCTTGTTTGCATTTTACACAGCAAGTCAGCTTTTTTAGAGTTGGGTTTGTGGCTATTCTGCAAATATAAACAGACAAAGAAACACTCTGAATGGAACCCACTTGATTTAGATTAACTTTTATTTTGTATTGTTTCTGTGAAATGCCTTAGACTGGGAAGTTCTTTTGATATTAAAACTGTATTTTGTATTTGTATATTGGCCAGTCTGTGGCAGCAGCTGTGCAGAAATTTAAACAGCTCGCTTAACTTTCTCTCTATCTCTCCACACTATTCCACGTCTGCTCCCACTGATTTCCTTAATTCCCTCCCTAATACTAATCATTTCCCTCCTCCGCCTCTATGACAGCCACTCATCTCTTTGCCGTTAGCAAATTGAATCTTTCCACTCTCTTTACAGATTTATATGTCAGTGTTTTCCTGTTATTTTCCCTCAAAGACTTAAAACATTTAAATTGAGAGCTGTTATTGTTTCCCATGTTGGCATGGTATCCATTAGTGTGAGAAGAAGATGTGTTTATAATACAGAAATGCACAGAAAAAAATCAGTGTAATATATATGTGTAGAAAAGAGCTGCAAAAACCTTTTACCTTAACAGAAAATGAAAGTTTTTTATTTTTTTATTTATTTATTTTTTTTTACCTCTAGCTTTTATTAATGGATATGGCTGTGATAGTGACAAAGAACCTCACAAACAGAATGAGTGCCTAATTGCGTACTTTAAACAAATGATTGACAAGGCCTTAACCTTGACTGAGGCATACAATGCTCCAAGTCTGTCACGTTGTGCACGTAGTACAAAGCAAATGTTTGCAAGCTGATTTTCAATAAAAATCAGCGCTGTCTTCCTCTGTATTGCTGACATGATGGAAGTTCACTGTAGAATACGTGTTGCACAGCATGTTTGAGGTTTGTGCTCTTTCGCCCTCAGATTAAAGAGATAAACAAGAAAAACAAGAACTGAAAATGATCATTCATTTGATGTTTAGGCACACAGCTTCAAACCAATCAAAACAGTGGATGGATTCATTTGAGTTTTTTAATGAATCATTTGAGTATTTTACATTGTAAAAACACTTCAAATTATAAGGCTTCAAAATTTAATTGACATTCAAATGATTGATTGAAGTAATTGAGAGTTTCTATTTGCGGGATATGTGATCGACTAAAGATCATAACAGGGAAACAAAATGAACTCTGTCAGCAAGTGATTAAAGGTAGTTGGTCTTAAATTCAAATTTTGAAAAGTTAAACGGGCAAAACCTTTGTTAGAATTAGAGTTTACAAATCCTGCAAATGTGCAGAAAGTTATTTACATGGAAAATAACAAGAAAAAAAGCAAGTTAGGAATAAACGCCAAGATGAAGGCAAACAGCTTTCCTTTTCAGTGATCAACAGAATATTTCAGCATATTCAAACCCCTGGTATCTCATAAATAATTTTTTAAAACGACAATAACATTAATATTTATGATATTGTTTGGGTTTTACATATGTACCAGATGTCTCCCTAGACTGATATAAATGTTGTTCTGGCTGAGCCAGAATTCTAATGAAAGAGGATCAGATTAAAGGAGATTCTCCAATCAGACTCTAAGAGGATGTTTTTTGTTTGTTTTTTACTCCTTAAGTGTAGGGATTGTGTATCTGGTGTATTTGTGATATTTCTGTTGATGACTAAACTCGACTGCGCTCGGATCATCGGCCTTTATTCTTATTGACATTCCTAAACAAATAGAAGATGTGGGATGACAAAGCTTATCTTTGCGTGTGAGGGCCACACATAGGCCCACAAGTTCAGGTTTCTGAGGTGATGTGTGCATCTAGGTTACGGTACTTTTTAATTCTCATCATACTGATTGGAATCCATGCAAACCCAAGCAATATATCACACAAGTGATTTTTTTTTCTATCATTCAAATTTTTTTAATAACAGGCAAGAGGTCTGCATTGTCTGTGTGTCTATTTGAGAAGCATCTTAGACAGGCAGAGTTTCTCAGAAGCAAAGGTGGGCAGAGGTTCAAAGACTTGCAAAGCACTGCATTTCAAACCTGTTGCACAATTTCAGAAAAAATATCTTTCACCTTAAAATTGCAAAGACTTTGAATGTGTCTTCATCTGCAATACATAATATCAAAGATTGAGAGAGTCTAGAGATCTCTCTGCATGAGGGACAAGGCCAAATTTTGGAGCATCATGAAATGAAAAACATAACAAAGAAGGATCTGAAAATGTTAAGCAGCTAGAGTCCTGTAAGGACAGAAAAAGGGGACAACTATCTCCCAAAAGTCCAGCAGCTGGTATCCTTAGTTCCCAGATGTTCCCTGGAGTGCTGACAACAGAAGAGGTTTTGCTACTTTGTGGTACATTCAAGTTCTTCAGATTCTGTCATATTCATTTTAAAGATTGAAGGTATTTTCTATAAATAAAATATGGCTTTATGAGATTTGTAAACCATTGCATTCTGTTTTTCTGTTTACATTTGACACATCCTTGCAGTTTTGGGGTTTGTGTTTGGCAGTTTAGCTCTTTTCTTGTGCACTACTTTCCTCCCATTTGCATACATGATAAGAGAAAGCAGCAACAAGAAACCAATGCAAACAGAGCATGGATGCATGATGACAGATGTGCCACTGAAGAACAGCAGGAAAGGAGGAGCGAAAGCATAAGTGGGTTGCAAAGTGGCTGGCAGTTCTCAGAAATGTGCCAATTGGATGTACAGAAGGACATCAGCAGAGCAGTCAGTTGATGAGGGCTGCCCCTGAGATAAGCTGATCTGCCACGGCTTGACTTGTAGATGCAATGAAACAATGTTCACAGACAAGTTTGTCAGTCATCGTTGGAATTTAACTGCGCAGAGTGAGTTTCACACACCTGTCTCCTGTCACCTTTTCAGCACTGAATAACACAGACTCAGAACAGAAGTCTGATAAAACTGTGTGTAAAACTCTTTAGCTAAAAAAAAGTTAAAGAACACCAAAGCGTTCACGGTCATGGTTTATGGAAACTTTGCATCCTCTTCTCTCTTCTCACTTCAAACCTGAAAATTTTCCATCACATGAAAAACAAACAAACAGCACTCCTGCAGTAGAAAAAAAAATCAGCATTACTAACATTTCATAACCTTAAATTAGGTTTTGTTTATACATCATTTAAACACCATAATGCACATTTGAAAAAGTATAACATCATATACAATGAGACTGATATTATCTTCCTTTTTAAAAATCATACGGGGACTTCTTTGGCAGCATTTATTGACTTCATCTCCCATGAGCTTTAGTGAATCTTTTGTTTGTGCATTTAATAGCATATTTGCAACAAATAGGAAGCACAGGACAAGTTATTAAAAATGGAATAGAAGGCAGCACGTACATAGAGCCCACACAAAGGGAACAATTTTTACTGATAAGTATTACCTACACTGAGGCCATCCTACTTCTTCTGTTAATGTTCACTTTACAAACATTATACAACACTTAGTCCAAGGATTGTGAAACACTGCAGTCAGCAGTTTTTGTTTAATTTAGTGGGGGTAGTGGGTTAGTAACCTCTCAGGTAGCTGGACCTGGTCTGGCCTGCAGATCCAGCTCAGGCAGACTTCTGGAATATTCTGAAAAGATATTTGTTGCATGTGATGAGTAAAGTGGTTCAGTTATGCACATCAATAAATAGACATGCTTTTGTACACTTTTTGTCACATCAAATGATCTACAGGTATCAACGAGCCTTTCTCTGGAAAACAGTAATCTTGCATAAATATTACATTAGGTATGCACTGGTGTGCATGTAGGTTTTAATGCTGTGGAATATTCACCCACATTCATATTCTCAAAAGTGATGATTGCACAAGTCTGCTTTTTATTCAGTGCTGTAGCATGATGACATAAGATATATACGTGATTAGACTTCTGTGCCCAAAAAATAAAAGGGGTAACCCATCAAATTCTATGAATCTCTGTTGCACCAGGACTTTTCCTGGTAGGTGGTTTGAACAAAGACAAGTCAGAGGTGGAGGTCTGTGGGGGCACAGCTCTGGGGGCTCATCAAATATTGTGGGCGTCTTTTGATAAAGCTACTGGTTGTGCACATTGTCCCCTCTTCCTCTGGTACCCAGTGTGATGTGACCTTTTAAACTGGGCTACAGTATAAAAGAACGCAGCAGCAGTTGCAGGGGTACCTTTGGCTCAGCTCTCCAGGCCTATCTGGTCTCAGAGGAATCCTCATCATGAAGCTGCTTTCCTGCATCCTGTTGCTTACCCTAGCCCTGGGATGGGCTCACTCGTAAGTGGACTTGTACTTCTAATGAAGAGATAAAACCCAGACAGTTTGAATGCTTTTTAATGCCACTTGTTTAATTTTTTTCATTAAAACTCAATACTAACGTAGTGAGTTACAGGGGACATCATGTTGTGTCTTTGCTGCATATCTAAAATGTTTCCAGATAACTTTTTTTGTTGTTTGTGCTAAATGCAGACATGATTACAGATCTAAAGCAACACTTTAATTTAGCTAAAGTCACTTTTTATACTTCCTGAGTTAAGCAGCGTTGATACAGGAAAAAACAAGACAAGAAATTATGATAATAAAAGCATTGTAGTGATATTTTCGTAAGTATGCTACACCAATTTGAATTGTTTTAACCCCACATGATCTCATTATTTTCTCTGGGTATCACACAACATGACATTGTGGCTTCATACAGTATAGCTTGAGTAAAAAACTAGATGAAGACTGAAAACTCCTCTCACGTGCGTTTTCCCTTTAACAATTTTGTAAAACTAAAAGTCCGAGCCTAAGTTTTGAGTGAAATTGCTTAAAGTGATAACATGCCTTTTCTCTGCTGGTAAAACCAGGCAAGGAGGAGGTCATCCACCACATGAACATGATTGTGAGTTGAAAGATTTTATTCTTTTAAATTCACAGACATTTCTCAACACAACTGCTGTCATGTTCTATATTATGAGCCTTCTTCTCACTTTCACCTGATATTCTGCAGATGACCTTGACCGCTGTAAAGGACTTGAGATGGATGCTGTTGCAGTGAATGAAGAGGGAATCCCATACTTTTTCAAGGGTAAGAATCTATAGAGGAGTCATGAGCAGGCATTTTGACACTGAGCGATCGTGGCTCAAGAGTTGGCAGTTTGCCTTGTAATCGCAAGGTTGCCGGTTCGAGTTCCGACAGTCTCGGTCGTTGTGTCCTTGGGCAAGACTCTTCACCCGTTACTTACTGGTGGCACCAGTGTCCGGCAGCCTCGCCTCTGTCAGTGCGCCCCAGGGTGGCTGTGGCTACAATGTAGCTGCCATCACCAGTGTGTGAATGACTGGATGTGTAAAGTGCTTTGGGGTCCTTAGGGACTAAGTAAAGCGCTATACAAATACAAGCCATTTACTGCATGAGGGAAAGTTATGACCTGGGAATATGTCATACTTTTAAAATGTGTTTGATCATCATAGAGCTCTAATGGAGTATGAACTGCAGCATGCATAAAAAGTGTGATTGGCTCTATTTAATGACTGTGTCCCGTATATGTTCTGTCAGGTGACCATTTATACAAGGGCTTCCACGGCCTTGCCGAGCTCTCCAATGAGAGTTTCGCTGAGTTGGACGACCATCATCACCTGGGCCATGTGGACGCTGCTTTCCACATGCACTTTGAAGACAACCCCGACGACCACGACCGCATGTTCTTCTTCTTGGTATGGCTTTTTATTGTGTTATTGATCATAACAGAGTTTGGCAACAGGCAAACATCCAGAGAAGGAAACAGTTTAAATAACCCAATAGGAATTACAACACAAAGCAAGATGGATAGCAAGACTAGAGTGGAGAGAGGGAGACAACAGCTGTCCTTGCAGTTGAGCTGGTAGAATAGTGTGACTAGAAAACAGGTATGATGTAGGCCAGTGGCTTTCAAACATTTTGTGTGCAAAGCACACCTGCACTCATATCTGTGCAAAATAGTCTCCATCATGCCATCTGACATGTCTGGACTGGTGTGCACCACAAATACCTTTCTCAGTTTCTTTTTGCATTCTCATGAGCAATTATAGCTGTTCAAGTGTGATGATGATTAAAATTTATCAACATTCCACAACTGCCCAAACTTGGGGTTGAAAACTGCTGTAAATGTGAAGCCTTTACAAAATAAATTTGGTCTGCATTACTGCTTTCTGAAAGCGATACAAAGTGAGATTCTCCTGATTTGACTGCAAAAGCCTAACAACTTGTTAAAGCCTTCAGCTGATCCAAAATGCTGCAGCAAGAGTACTGACAGGGACTAGAAAGAGAGAGCATATTTCTCCTGTTTTGGCTTCCCTTCATTGG